TCTCTTTTTGGCTAACAATTATTGGAAGAGTGGACCACATGAAATTGTATTTTCATCAAGTAGTGGTGGCACACACCTTTAATCCCAGCACTCAGGAGGCAGAGGCAGGTGGATCTCTGTGAGTTCAAGGTCAGCCTGGTCTACAAAGCAATTTCCAGGAAAGGCACAAAACTGCCCAGAGAAACCCTGTCTCAAAACTGCCCCCTCCAAAAAAGAAAGAAATTTTAATTTCATTGGGCATCTCATTGTTAGAAAAGACTTGAGTCCTCCAGATGATAATTCAGCATGGTTTTAAGATGGGAAAAAAATAATTACATGGCTTCATTAGATTACTTGGTTTTGCATATCTTTTGCCTTCTATATAAACCTCTTAGGACCTCAAGGTGGATTAGTTATCTTATATTTTCTTTATTGTTCCAAATTTGTCAATTTGAATAAATATCATGTTTTAAATTTTCATTAATAATTTGCTTTTTTTCCTTTTCTCTTTTCATTTTGTAAAGAATAGTATTACTATGACTCCCTGGCTGGCCTGGAACTCAACTACAGACTAGTCTGTCCTAGGATATCAGAGAGATCTGTTCACCTTGTCTCCAGAGTTCCTGCATTATAGGTGGGCATGTTGCTCACTGGATAACTTGGTTCATTCAATTGGCTTACTGAAGATGAGTGGCTGTGCCTGCCTAGTTAGAGTAGCCAGGGGAGAGGTTCTGATCCTATCTTCAGTAACAGAAGAAGGTTCCCATCAAATGTATCCTGCCTGCCTTAGTGTTACCTTTCTTCCAACTCTAAGAAATTTTATTTTTCTTTATTACTGAGTCTGTTACAACTCATCAATGACCTGGGAAAAGTTCTGTCCTTATTTTGCAGAAAGTGAAACCCAGGCTCACAGAGATAAGTATTTTTGAATATAGTTAAGTATAATTGTTCATGTAACTCATCCCATCATTCTAATGCCTCATGAAATGCATTTGAAGCAACTTAGGCTAGACATGGTGGCTCAGGCCTGCAATCATGGTACTTAGAATTTGGAGATAGGAATTTCAGGTTTTCAATGTCATCCAAAATGAGAATGGTCAAAGGGTTATGGTTGGAGTATAAGACCAAAATGAGCTGTCTTAGAAATAAGACCAAAATGCTTTCACCCTAAAATTAAGGCCTAAGATTTCTCCTTTTGGGAATAGGCCATTAGTTACTGAAACCAGTCAGTTCAGATTCCAGAAACCAGGAAGTGTAAAAGTACAGAGTCACAAGATAGTCATGAGGTAATGCCTATCAGACTATGGAATGTCCTCTCCCTGGTTTCCAGGGTAACTGACCACAGAAATGCCCCCACCTGAGGGCAGCCAATGAGAAATGGTGGCAGGCAACCACTCCCTTAGAAGTAATTTGTAGCAGTCCCTATAAGTGAGCCAATCAGAATTGTACCTGTACCAGCACCCCTAAATGATGTAACCTTGTGATTTTTCACTTTAAAAACTGAGCTTGCAGATAGGTGGGCACTTCCTCCAGCCTCCACTGCGTTGGATGTATTGGATGAAGTCCCTGCCTAGGCTTGTATTGCTTTTGGATATCCAGAATTAAACCTTGCTTTTGCATTCTGGTATGCTAGTCTTCAGTGGTCTCTCTGGGGGTCACGATCTGGGCATAACAGGAGGACCAGAGAACCAAGGGAAACTGATTGGCTGGGGACAATGTCCATAGTCTTCCCTGCAGCTCCAGAAATTCAAGGCCAAGGGAACAGAAATTTTTAGCTGAGGTACTTACCACCTCAAGTTTACTATTATTTATAATGTTTTCCTATTTTTGTAAATGTTTTTTGTCCAAGGCACCTAGATCACTTGGGAATAAAACTCTTTTTTTTTTAAAGCATTAAGTACTCTTTTAACATTTTTTTTAAGATTTATTTATTTATTATGTACACAGAAGAGGGTGCCAGATCTCATTACAGATGGTTGTGAGCCACCATGTGGGTGCTGGGAATTGAACTCAGGACCTCTGGAAGAGCAGTCGGTGCTCTTAACCTCTGAGCCATCTCTCCAGCCCGGGAATAAAACTCTTATTGCTCACTAAATAGTGGTATTCTCCTGCAGGTGGACAAATTAGTCTTGGGCAGGGATGAGCTCCCTATTTGCTTATCCAATATAATGTCTTCATCCTTGAATCTTTATAAACACAACCAACAGATTTGGACTCAGCAGGTTTTATTCATATATTTGTGCATACATATTCTCACATGCTTAATAAGGAAGAAATTGGAAGGGAAAAATTTGGGAAGGTATGGAGAGAGGAAAAGAAGGGGGGGAAATGATTAAATACATATTAATTTGTGAGAACAAAATGAGCCATCTTAGAAATAAGACCAAAATGCTTTCACCAAAAACTAAGGCCTAAGATTTCTCCTTCAAGGAATAGGCCAATAGTTACTGAAACAAGTCAGACCAGATTCCAAAAACCAGGAAGTGTAAAAGTACGGAGTCCCAAGGTGGTCACGAGATAATGACTACTGGACTATAGACTGGTCTAACCTTGGTTTCCAGGGTAACTGACCATAAAAATGTCCCCACCTGAGGGCAGCCACTGAGCAATGGTGGCAAGCAACCAGCCCCTTAGAAGTAAGATTAAGCCATGATTTTTTTGAAAGCCCCTAGAAGCGAGCCAATCAGAATTGTACCCGTACTAGCACCCCTGAATGATGTAACCTTGTGATTTTTCCCTTTAAAAACTGGGTTTCTAGATAGGTGGGCACTTCCTCCAGCCTCCACTGCGTTGGACCTATTGGATGAAGTCACTGCCTAGGCTTGTATTGGATATCCAGAATTAATCCTTGCTTTTGCATTCCATCATGCTCATCTTTGGTGGTTTCTCTGGGGGTCATGATCTGGGTACAACAAATTAAAATGTATGAAAATAGATTTTAAATAAAGAAGTGGCCTAGGGAGATACCTTAACAATTAAAAGCAGCACCAGTTGTTGTTATATAGGACACAGGTTCCATTTTAACTAGCCATCTCCTGTAACTCTCTTCTGGCCTTTGCAAGTACTCTGTACAAATGCCTGGAGGCAAACATCTGTACATATAAAATAAAATAAAGCTTAAAAAATGGAATCCTATGCAATGATGTCACAGCCCTGAGACAGACAGCAGCCAGGGCAAGTTAAAATGATCTCTGTTGTGCCCAGGTCACAAGATCCCTAAGCTAGACCACCACAGAGCCATTATCTGATGCAAGCACACAAGCTTTGAAGAACAAAATAAGCAAGCTAGGTCACGTTCATCATCCGACACAGCAGGTGGAGGAAAATGGCCCTGAGCACTCACTTTAAGCAGTTTATATAGGAAACATTTACATGCAGCTTGGGATGGGATGAGGGCGCTAGGTGTGAGGTAGTTTTTTGAAGTTACCAGCTGAACTATAACCTTGAGATTACTGATGACTAACAGGATTCACGGTATTACAGAGACATAAATTTTTATTCCCTATGTCCTGCTTTTGTTGAACCCAGGATATGTACATTCAGATTTATTGTTCCTGTCCTACTCTCCCGAGTTCAACTTCTGGTCAACTGAGCCCATTACTCCCTATATGTTGTTTTGCCAAGTCTAGGATACATAAATTTATTGTCCCAGCCTTAAAAGTTCAACTTCTGGTAACTTCTAAAACTGTTGGTCAGCAAAAACTTTTGGAGGAGGGGAGGGGGAAGCATCTCTCAAGATGGCTACTGATTTTCCCTTTTTCTCCCGATCCTGCATGCTTGTAAGACATTCTATGAAATCAACTTTCTACATACATGTAGAGATTCATTCTATCAGTCCTGATCATGTAGAGAAGCTTGAATAATAGAGTTGGTTTTTTTTTCTTCACCTGTCTATGGAGAAAGATGTGCTGGCTAACAATGGTGCTCATAAATGCATTCTTCCTGGCTCCATTACTCTCTAAGTATTCTTCTTTCCATGAAGACTACTCTTTATTATTATTTATTTTGCCAAAACTTTGCTCTGAATTTCAGGAATAAAACTTAAGGAGGATGGAGACTTCCTTCAGCTTTCTGATGGGAGAAAGACCTTTTATCTTGTTTGTGATCTAGTTTCTGCTTTCCTTGCTGCTTGTCTGGAGTCCCTGTGACAACCAGGTAAAAAGTACCTTCAGTTCACCTGATGTCAGTGTTAGGTCACACAACAAACACTCTCCTTGTGTGTCTTTAAATATCCCTACAGTTGTTAAAATTTTGGGTACTCTTCTACCTGTGTGGCAGCAAATCACTCCACCCCACATAGTATAGTGGTCTGGACAAGCTAGCTATCCACATTGTGTCCAGGAGGAGGAAGAGGAAGTACCTATTGAGAGCAGGAAGAGATCAGGTCTGCTTTGCAGCCTGGGGCAAGAGCTATTGAAATGCATATTTCTGCTGAACTAGAAAATGTCTTTGTCTGTGGTAGAAGGGAGGGACAGGAATCATTGTGCTCTGTTTTTCAGCACACTTCCTAGTCCCAGGGAAGGCCTCTGAATAACTTTGGTCTGTGGGCTGATTCTGCTCACAGAATGGGGAGCAGGGAGCTGTGTGTAGAAAGATATTTGTAATTAAATTAAACATTCTTTTTGTTTGAAAGTATTATGTCCAGTTTGCAGGGATCACCAAAAACCCACTATGGAGGCTGTATCCCATAAGTGAAATCAAAGAGCATTTATTTTCAAGCTCCGGGGCATCGTTTGTATGTCCCACACAGCAGGGAGAGCAGAGAACCCTGAGCTCAGGTGGGATTGGGTTTTTATAATAGCAATGGTTAGGGTGAGGAAATTTCCAGAATTCAGGACCCTGATTGGCTGACAATTATCTAGGGGTATCTGAAAAAAAAAAAAAGGTGTGTGCAAGATTCAAGGATATTTGGCTACCTTATCTAATTCTTGGAATGTTTGGGATGTTAGGTGCTTCCACATCCCTGGGTGGATCCCTGGGTGGTGTAAGCTTATTTCTTTTCCTGACTCTGGGTGTTGCTTGCTAGTAAGCCTGTCACAGAAGGTATGTCTGGGCCTCTAAGCCTGTCATGCAGCTATGTGGTCAGGTTGTTTGGGGACACTTCCACAAAAGCACGTTTCTAAACTAGAAGAGGCCCAGTTTCTCCAGTACCTTCTAGAGATTCAGCACTTTGAATTTACCTTTCATGTTTAAGATCCTTTTTCATTAGTTTTGTGGAGATTGTAAAAGGCATCTAATGTGTTAGGTAGAACTCCACTGCTAAGGTTTAATATAGAAGAGTAGAATTAGTGATATAAAAGATTCACTAATTCTTTGGCGATAGTAAGTCTCACAAAATAGAATTTAGGTGAAAGAGGACTGCCTAAAAAAACACAAAATAGGTATATTCTCCAGGGCTGTTAGAGATTAGGACAGTAGGATACACATTTGTTCACCAGGATTGTCCAGACACTTGGCTCCAAAGCATTTCAAAGGAGACACTGCCCATTTACCACAAGCCACTATGTCTAATCCTATATCAAAGAATATCTAACAAGCTGCTCATTGAGGCATTGCAGGTTCACATCCAACCTTAAGTCCTGTCATGTCATAAAATTCCAATTTCTTCTTTAGAAAGGCATAGTTCTGGGCGGTGGTGGCACACGCCTTTAATCCCAGCACTCGGGAGACAGAGGCAGGTGGATCTCTGTGAGTTTGAGGTCAGCCTGGTCTATAGAGTGAGTTCCAGGAAAGACACAAAGCTACACTGAGAAACCATGCCTTGAAAAAAAATTTCCTCTAGAAAGGCACAGTTCTGCCAGATGGGCAATATGGCCAAGTGGCAAATGTTTGAAAAGTAAAACACAAGGTTTATGGTGGTACACACCTTTAATCCCAGCACTCACTTGAGAGGCAGAGGCAAGTAGATCTCTGTGTGTTTGAGGACAGCCTGATCTACAGAGTGAGTTTCACGAGAGGCTCCAAAGCAATACAGTGGAACCCTCCCTTGAAAAACCAAAAAAAAAAAAAAAAAAGAAAAAGAAAAAGAAAGAAAGAACAAGAAAGAGAAAAAAGAAATGTAGAGCTGGGTGGTTGTGATGCACACCTTTAATCACAGCACCAGAGAGGCAGAGCCTGTGGATCTCTGTGATTTCAAGGCTACCCTGGACTACAGATCCAGATCCAGGACAGGCACAAAAAACTACACGGAGAAACTCTGTCTCACAAAACCAAAAAACCATAAATAAATAAATAAATAAATAAATAAATAAAAACAAAGAAAGAAATGGAAAACACTGTTGTGTTACAGAGTTGCCTAATGATGCAAGGCTTTCCTTTATGCCCTCAAGCAGGAAGGAGGAAAATTCTTGAAAAGGTAGTTAAAACCTAGGACCTAGGACATGAGAGCATTCCCTAAGGGTCTGATGTGTTGACAATAGAACAGCTCCTTCCCTAAAGCCAGAAATATGTTTTGGAGATCTGGTAATGGTCTAGGGCTAGGGCCTTTGTGGTGGGGTTTTTTTCAGATCATGAATTTATCTCATTGTGTGATAGATTCTGCTAACTTTATAAAAGTCATCCATTTTCTTCAGTTTCCTCCCTGGAAGTAGTATACAAGTTGCTATTCTTCTTAAGAAGCTAAGTTGAGGCTGGAGAAATGGCTTAGAGGTTAAGGGCACTGGCTACTCCTCTTCCAGAGGTCCTGATTTAAATTCCCAGCAACTACATAGTGGCTCACAACTATGTATAATGAGACCTGGTGCTCTCTTCTGGCCTGCATGCATACATGCAGGCAGGTTACTGTATGATGCATAATAAATAAATAAATAAATAAATAAATCCTTTTTTTAAAAGGCGCTTAGTTGACATGAGACATAGATTGTACAAGACCTCATTCTTTTTCTCTCTTTCTTATCTCCTTCATCTCAGAACCCTGTTACTGAAGAAGATCCTACTGTTTCATACCACTGGGTTATTTAAGAAATAATTTTGGAAATGTCTTTGCTGTGTAAGTCTCCCATCTGTCTAAGTGGGTGGAGTTGCAGTATTTGGTCTCAATTTGAATTACTCAAAGTGTAATCTGAAACTTGAATCTAAATGTCACAAGGATGATGGAATATGGGGAATGCAAGATCTCTTCTAGGCTGGTTCCTCTTTGAGCATTAGCCAGAGATGGATGCATGCTTTCATTAAAGAGATTTTTTTTCCATATTAATCTCTTAATTGTGTGGAGTGATTTCTCCCTTGGGAGGCATATTGATTCTAGGACACTTGCATTTTAACCATTTTAGAAAGATGTTTCTGACACTAGCTCTCTTATGTTGACACAAATGGCCATGGTCCCAGTGTGTTGCTCTCCAGGTCAGTGATCTTGCTATCCTCCATATTACAGCTGCAAAATCTTAAACTGAATGATTGTATCACCTCTAGGTTTAAAAACTCCCCATTTGATTCATCCAATTTAATATCCATTGTTGTAAAAGGAAAGAACTTGCATTTGGAGCATGGTTTCTACCTTCAGACCAGAATAGAAGGAATAGCTTATTGTGCACACTACTTCGGTAAAGAGGGTAGATAATAAGCTGCTGAAGTCACCATTATTAAAAAAAAAAAACAGAACCTGATTATAGTAGGAGGAGTGATTTTGTAATTTCTAAGCATTTACTAATTGAAGTGTTGGGAATTAAGACGGACGAGACTAATTGGAATGAAGGGACTGTGAAAATTTCATGTGCTGGTGGCCTGGCACCCTTGACCCAGCATACATTATAGGCAGGTCAAGTTTCAGTTGAATGTTCTGTGGCTGGCTTGGTGTCCCAGGTCCATCTCTGGAGCCTTATGTAGTTACAGAAAATTGCTAGTTCAGCCTCCATATTCTTAATTGTTTGGAATCCTAACTAGGGTCACCCATATGGGTTCCAAGATTTTTTTTTTAGATTTATTTATTATCTATACAGTATTCTGCCTACATGTGTCCCTGCAGGCCAGAGGAGGGCACCAGATCTCATTACAAATGGTTGTGAGCCACCATGTAGTTGCCAGAAATTGAACGCAGGACCTCTGGAAGAGCAGTCGGACTCTTAAACAATGAACCATCTCCCAGCCCAGGTTCCAGGTTGTTTACATTGCACTATTTTCATAAACCCTGCTAAAAGCTCCCCTATTCCAGTTATCTCTCCCTACCTTCTCCTCATTTGTCTCTTCCTTACTCACCCAATCCTTCCTGTTCCCTTCCCAACTTGCCATCAGTGCACCCAAAAAATCTATTCTATTTCCTCTTCCAAGGGAGAGCCACAAATCTCTCCTAGGGCCATTGTTTATTATTTAGCCTCTCTGCATCTGTGGATTGTACTGTGATTACTGTGATTACAGTGATTGTACTTTACTGAACTACTTATATCTACTTATAAGTGTGTACATACCATGTTTGTCATACCATGTTTGACTCACTCAGGATAATACAGAACTAAAGAATCTTGACAACATCAAACCAAATAATTCATTTATAATGGGACATACCTCTAAACATAACTCTCAGTAGATGAATCTAAAGTTGCTGAAAAAGACTTGAAGAAATGTTCGACATTCTTAGCCATCAGGGAAATGCATATTAAAACTCCTTTGAGATTTCATTTTATATCTGCCAGAATGAGAAGATCAATAATACAAATGATAGCTAATGCTGGCAAGGACGTGGAGCCAGGGGAGTCACTGCTTTGACAAGTGCAAACTTGTACAGCCACTGTGGAAAATAAATATGCAATACTCTGAAAATGGGTAGTCAATCTACATGAAGACGCAGCTTGGGCATATACCCAAATGATGGTCCTGCACCCTACCACAAGGACAATTGCTCAACTAGATTCATAGTGGCTTTATTTATAATAGCCAGAAACTGTTATGTCTGTGAGAGATTTTGCTGATTGATGATTGAAATGAGAAGGCTCCTCCACCTAGGGTAGCAGGAATGGCTATTCCACCTAGGGTGACTGTAGCAAGAACATACCCCAGTTATGGGGAAGGAATAATCACTCTTGATTCAGACATGGTATAACACTCATTTATTCACACAGTAAGATTACAAGTAATATTTATCCTGTCTTCCAAATGGAAATGGAGTACCTTTCCAGGTGTACAGGTCCGGACTTGCCACATCTTTTCCTATGGATCTTGGGTCAGCCCTCCTCCGGTTAGCCATGTCTGCACTGGGGACAGGATCTCACGTCTCATGCAAGGGTCTGACGAGATCTGTTGATCTTCTGATCTGATGATCTGAGGCTTCATTTTATATCCTTCCTGGTAAGGTTTCTAGTCTTATCCCAACTTCCACACAAAGATTATATTTCATCTCTACTCCATTTGTGGTTTACTTAAGTCATTCTATTGCTTATCACTCCTGTTCACTCTAGGTCTTACATGTTCCTTACAGTGACAATAACCCTAAAAAAGTGGGCCTGGGCTAGAAAAGGGAGCCAACTGAGCATGAGACAGTTACTGCCAAGAGACAACACCAGAAAGCAATCTTTGCCTGTGGGTTTTGCCTTCAATTGTTAGCATGGGTTTTTATCCTGATCTCCCAAGGTGATGGAGTGTGATCTGACACAATCAGCCAAATAAACCCATTCATTGCCTGATATGTCTTTGGTTAGAGGCTTTAATCTCAGCAAGATAAAAGAAAGTTAAAACAAAAAAATGTAACACCAACAGTGATTTTATTGCCAGGTAGAATCTGAGAATGTTGTCTTTTGGAAGAATGTGGAAGATATCAGGACCTTAGTTGGCAAAAACCATAGAAAGTTACACACAGAACATTATTGGTCCATTGTGTATGACTAGGAAGATGGGAATGTTAAGAGTAATGGCAGAAAGTGGAGATTGAGACTATAGAATTTCAGTCAAAATGACTCAGTAAAAATTAAGCTAACAGTCATTTGTGTCATATTTTGGCTCCAAATGATTTCTTATTCTGTCAATGCCCAGGATATTTATTAATGCAGAATTAAAAAATAATGTGCTAGTTTCTTAAATGGAATATTGATTCTGTTGGAGTGTTTTTATAGACTCATTCAGGTGAACAATGGAAGAAAACAAGAGAGGCAGAAACAATTGAAAATGAGAAGGTAATTTCAGAGGGCTGTGAAGTGCTGAAAAAGGCAAGGGTTTCAAAGACTTGATCACCGTTATTCAGAAAATGGATGCATGAAGGGTAATGGAAGGTCTCCTAAGGTTAATGCTCTATTTATGTAGTGCTTGAAATTATGAAATGAGAAAGCACAGTGATTTCTAGTCCCAGGAAGCAACTTCATACAAAATCTGTTTCACCTGTGGTCCAAGCATGTTTTTGTCCATCCCAATCAAGAAGTCAAACTTTGCAGGATCCACCATCATCTGCTGGTCCTGGAAACAAGAGAGAATCAAAATTTAAGGTTATCAATTCTTAGCCTCTGGTTACAGTTCAGCATTTTTGCAGGCATCTATGATTGGCAGAGACAGAAATCAAGTGAGGAGATTGGGAGGGTTCACTGCATGAAGTAGTGAGGATGAGGCTTGGTGCTTTTTTATTCTTTTTTAACTCTTTACTCTTTTGGTGTCTGGCTACCCAGTTCTAAAATTAATTGCACACATAGAGGCTTAGTCTTTCTTATAATTGCATGGCCTTAACTTGGCTTGTTTCTAGCCAGGTTTTCTCACCTTAAATTATCACATCCACCTTTTGGCTTTTAACCTCCTCTATTCTGTATACCTTTCTTTTCTTGTTACTCCATTGCTTGCTGTGTAGGTGAGGGGATGGCCCCTGGTGTCTTCTCTCTCTTTTTTTTCTTTCTTGCTGCTTCTTCCTTTTTTCTATGCAGATTTTTTTCTCCCATTTATTATCTCTGACTGCCAGCCTTGCCTATCCTTTCCTGCTGAGCTATTGTCCATTCAGCTTTTTATTAGATCAATCAAGTATTTTAGACAGGTAATGTATCACAGCTTCACAGAGTTAAATGCAACATAAAAGATTGCAACACATCTTTGCATCATTAAAAAATGTTCCATGGCATACACAAATATAACACATCTTAAAATAATATTCCACACACCTGCATTGCATTTTGTGACCACAGGATGTTGAGATACCTAACCTATGAGACATCTTCCATTTAGACTTAGCTGCATATAGACAGTAGAAGTAACCATAGAGATAAATGTTTGGGAAATTGCAGGGAAAGGGCAATCTAAGCCCTTTTGAACTGAAGCCCCTTGCATCTGAGACAGAGATACAGGATTTGTTGTTTTTCTTCCTGTGCTTCAATCTTTTCTTGGTTCAACCTTCCCTCACTGTGTCTCCATTTCACTGTTTTGGAATGTGAATGGGACTGTGTGCCATTGTATGTTCAAAATATGTATGTAACTCTACTAATTTTACAAGATATCACTGTCAGGAGATCATCTTGAGGATCAGAAGAGACTTTGGACATTTGAACAGTGTAAGGGCTGTTACAGACTATGAGGATCATTGAAGTAACTAAATGCATTTTCTTCATGAATGACCATGAGCCTTAATGACTTGGGTCAAAATGTGATTGATTTAAAAACCTCCCAGTTAAGACACTGTATTTGGACACATGTTTCTCCTTGGATATTTCTTTGTATTGTTTTGAAACCTTTACTAGGAGGAGTCTTTCTGGATTAAATTCCTCACTGTACATGTGATATGTATCTCAACAGTCTCAACACATTTCCTGTTTGTTCTGTATACTGTGTTGTGTTGAAATTAATCAGCCAACTTCCTTCCTGTTCTGTCATGCCTTCACCAACATTATAGACTCTATCTCAAAATCACATAAGATAGAGTAGAAGCAATTGTAATTCAGTGATAAGGCAGTTTGGTAGCCTGCTCTTTTAATTTTTTGTTGTTGTTGTTTTTGAAGACAAGGTTTATCTGTGTAGCCCTGGCTGTCCTGAAAGGAGCTCTGTACACCAGGCTAGCCTCAAACTCAGAGATCCCGCTGATTCTTGCCCCCACATCCTGCGACAAAAGGAGGACCAACATTCCTAGCTTTTTTGTTTTTATATTATTGGGTGATGGGCTTGAGATGTAGGTTTATACATGTCAAACATATGCTGTTTTACAGATTTTCACCTGTATCTTGTACTTTAAAATTTGGCAGAGAGCATCCTTCTGTTTCTCAGGATGGCATGTACTCATGACACTAATATTGCCTGCACCTTTTGAGTCATTGTATAGTGGGTGTATGAACTTCTTCCTGCCTGTTGTGTTTTGTTTGAATTTTTAAGTGAATATGAATATTTTACCTGTATGCATAGATATACACCACATGGGAAACTGGTCATCACAGTAATCAAATGATGATCTTAGAAACCCTGAGGTTGGAATAATGAATAGTTGTGATCTCCCATGTAAGCAAGAGCAATTGAGCCCACCTCCATTCAAAACAAAAAAGAGCTCTTTGCTGCTATACCATCTCTCCTGCCCTGTGTTGATTATGTTTGATCAACATTTATATTTCTAAAGTTTTCATCTGTCCATTTATAACTGTTACAATGTGCAGTGCCTTTTATCAAAATCTTATTGATGTTACAGCTTGAATTGCACACTTCATGTTCTTGAAGATGAAAACAGAACTGTAATGAATCCAACACTCTTTTAAGGAACTTCAGTAAAAACCTTGGAGCTTCCTCTGTAGCTAGAGTTTTCCTGCCTTGCCCACAGTCAGGAAAAATTCTTGTCACCCGCCAGTCCCACAGGTGCTCAGACCCAACCAAGTAAACACAAAGACTTATATTGCTTACAAACTGTATGGACATGACAGGCTTCTAGCTATCTAGTTCTTACATCTTAAATTAATCCATTTCCATAAATCTATACCTTGCCATGTGGCTCATGGCTTACTGGCATCTTCACATGCTGCTTGTTTTGGCGATGGGTGGCAGTGACTCCTTCCGCCTTCCTGTTCTTTTTTTCTCTTCTCTGTTAGTCCCACCTATACTTCCTGCCTAGCCACTGGCCAATCAGTGTTTTATTTATTGACCAATCAGAGCAATTTGACATACAGACCATCCCACAGCATTTCTCTATCTTTTTTGTTGATTTTTACATGGAAGACAAGGTCTTAATGTATAGTTCTGGCTTTTCTGGGCTTGATTTTGTAGAGTAGACTTCTATTCAACTCAGAGGCAGATATACCTGCCTCTGCTTTCTGAGTGCTTGGGTTAAAGGTATGAACATTACACCTAGTCTACCTAACCTACTTTTCTTTTCTGTAGTTCCTAATTATTCATACAATTTCACTCATGTGTACTCTGTACTGTTGATCTGTTTACTTGTCTCTCTATGTTAATAGGCATTTCTCTTGCAAAGTAATATCTCATTCAAGGGGTACAGAATTGACAGAGGTAAACCTCCTATTCAGTTTTCATCTAAAGTGACTTGGTGATTATATTGCAATGTCTATGTTATGAAATATTGTGGGAGGATCAGAATTATATGACTATACTGTCAAAGAAGTATACATTTACAATGCTTTCTGCTGTACACATGTATGGGATGTTTTAGAATGTAGTGACCTATGATGATGTGCATGTTGGCTTCACTTGGGAAGAGTGGACTTTGCTGGATCCTTTCCAGAAGAATCTCTACAAAGATGTGATGCTGGACACCTACTGGAATCTCACTTCTATAGGTAAGACTGAATATTCCTTCATGTTTTAAAATAAGGGGACAATATTTCCTTGGTTATTGATTCTCTTCAGTAATTTGATTGAGAAAGGAGAATGAGGTGAATAATTCAGTCATGCTTCAAAGAGTCACTGAAGATAGTAACTTAAATTTTGCAGTTTCCAATAAAATATCATCCATTTTCTGATACTATATTTTAGGGTACATTTGGAGAGATAATACTACTGATGAACATTTTCAAAGTTCCAGAAGACATGGAAGGTAATTGTCTTGTGCAAGTTGATAAAAATACACCTGTGAAGAAATTGTAATGTGTTCTGGAAGTATTAAACAAATACAACAGTGTAAATAAGCACTGTTTGAAGTGTGTTGGTGATTATTAAATTCTTACAAAGCACATACCTCAATTTTAAGTAGTTGAATTAGATTTGCAAGGCATTCTTTTAAGAAATAAGACAAGGGGAAATGCCTCAGCAGCTATCAACTTTTGAATCATTGCACCATGAGAACTATGCTGTAGGACTGTAAACCCATTTATTTTATCATACTCATATTACAAAATTAATAATCTGTGAAGAGGTGAGATGTATATCTTCAAAAAATTCTAGTAAGCAGAGTCCATAATAGAGATAGATAGTATTGCTCATATATTTATTGTGACTGTGCTGTTTAGTGAGAAGGGCAGTTAGAGTCAATAGTCAATGGGCATTGTCATGGAGAAATGTTAATCTCTATTATAAATCTATGAGGACAGGAAGTCAAACTGAATTCATTGTGGAAACCTTTTATTTGTCATTCCTCCTTTACTAGGTATATCATTTGTCACTCTGGATACAAGACATATGAGCATAGAGATACGGAAAGACATATCATACCTCTCTCTCAGACCAATTAGAAAATATGTAGCAGTCCCCACATTGAATATATTTGTTGAATTTGATGCAAGTATTCAATTAATTGTTTTTCTAGCTTCATTAAGACACCAACAAACTCACATTACAGAAAAGCCCTATGAGTACTAGGACTGTGTAACTACAACATGAGTGTAAACATAGTGATAAAGCCTAAAGATCTTTTTCCTTTTATAATATGACCAAATTGTAAAAATAATTTATACATATATAAGGAGTCAACAGTGTATTGGATGTGGTAAAGCTTTTACATGTGCCAATTATTCTTGCAGGTATGAAAGAAACCAAACTGCAGAGAAACCTGTATTTTTTCAATGTGGTAAAGCCTTTGCATATGAGAGTCATCTTCACAGGCATGAAAGAACACATAGTGGGGAGAAAATCTTTGAATGTAATCAGTGTGCTAAAACCTATATTCATCAGAGTAGTCTTCAGATGCATAAAAAAACTCATACTGGAGAAAAACCCTATGAATGTAATCAATGTGGTAAAGCCTTTGTTGATCATAGTATTCTTCGAAGGCATGAAAGATTACATACTGGAGAGAAACCCTATGAATGCAATCAATGTGGTAAAGCCTTTGTTCGTAACAGTGCTCTTCAAGTACACAAAAGAAGACATACTGGAGAGAAACCCTATGAATGTAAGCACTGTGGCAAAGCCTTTGCACAATGTGGTCATCTTCACAGTCATGAAAGATCTCATACTGGAGAGAAGCCCTATGAATGTATTCAATGTGGTAAAGCATTTGTGCGTCAAAGTCATCTTGAGATGCATAAAAGAACACATACTGGAGAGAAACCCTATGAATGTAAGCACTGTGGCAAAGCCTTTGCACAATGTGGTCATCTTCACAGTCATGAAAGATCTCATACTGGAGAGAAGCCCTATGAATGTATTCAATGTGGTAAAGCATTTGTGCGTCAAAGTCATCTTGAGATGCATAAAAGAACACATACTGGAGAGAAACCCTATGAATGTAAGCAATGTGGCAAAGCCTTTGCACAATATGGTCATCTTCAAAGGCATGAAAGATCTCATACTGGAGAGAAGCCCTATGAATGTATTCAATGTGGTAAAGCATTTGTGCGTCAAAGTCATCTTGAAATTCATAAAAGAACACATACTGGAGAGAAACCCTATGAATGTATTCAATGTGGTAAAGCATTTGGGCGTCAAAGTCATCTTGAAATTCATAAAAGAACACATACTGGAGAGAAACCCTATGAATGTAAACAATGTGGCAAAGCCTTTGCACAAAAGAGCCATCTTCAAACGCATGAAAGAACACATACTGGCGAAAGAATCTAATTAATATGGTAAAGCATTTGTATCACAGTCATCTTCAAATTCATGAAACAACACATACTAGAAAGAAACCCTATGAATGTATTCATTATAATAAACCTTTTGCCTATCACAGTCATCTTCAAGTGTATATAAAAACATACTAGAGAGAAACCTTATGAATATAATTAGTGCTATAAATCCTTTGTATGTATCAGTAATCTTTGAAATCATGAGAAAAAGTCATATTGCAGAGAAACCCTAAAAATATAGTCTGTGTGGTAAAGTTTTGCACTTTATACAGGAGTAAAACTTTTGTGTGCATCTGATCTCTTAAAGCCTTTGCTTATCACAATAGATGTTGAGTACCTGAAAATGATACTGAGGGCTATTTATTATAATGTATTAGTAAGATCTTTAACCAATACACTCACAGTCAATTACACAACATTATTTTGTAGAAAAAAAAAGTTGACAGTTTCAACAAACTGTTCAAGCACTATGATCTCCATTTTTATATAGTTTGGCCCAGCTATCTCATGGGGGAAAAATGAATTTATGAAGCACTATGTGTAGAGTAAAAGGGCCAGCTAAAGAAACACACTTTGTCCCTGAATCCAGGGCCTTTGAGAGATACACTGTGGTCCTGAAACTAGAGGCATAATGTTAAGAGGGACCAAGTGAAGGAATCGCTTTTTCCCTGAAAGCACAGCCAATGAAACACACTCTAGCTTTGACAAACTGAGCACAAAACCAACCAATCAATGAGCACAAAATGTAGCCTAACTCTGAGATTGTTCAAGCACAGGGATTTAAATCCAACCAATTCCCACCCCAGAAATCTTCCTGGAAAAACTCAGCCCTAAGAAGCCCCATATAAGCCCTGTGCATGTTCAGTTGGCTGCGGACCTTTTCCATACTGGAAAAGGAATCCAGACTCTCTCCTTGATTCCTCCCTCCACAATACATGGCTTGAATTACTTTTGAGTGAAGACATCCTTTTGCCCAAGTGGATCAGAATATCTCTAGTGACTTGGAGCAAAGACGCAATGGACACTTCTTCTGGGAAACTCCCTTAGGGGAGTAGAACAGAGCAACAACTGACATCTCTGGTGGGAAAACTCTCTTAGCAGAGTAGAGCAGAGCCCATCTCTAAGAACTCTCAGAGAGAAGCAGAATTTCTCCATCTTGTGGGGAGATCATCTCTCATGGGAACACATCTCCAGGTATAGCCTAACTTCCTGTCAGGATACCTTTCTCCTCACCACTGTAATTATATAGGATACCTTCCAATCACACCTGTAGGTGTAGTCTAAATTCCTACAGACAGGGTACATTCTTTCATTAAACAATAACATAATCCTTTTAGATTTTATACTTGTCTTAAATTGTATGAAATAACTAATTCAGGTGTAAAACTTCATGGATTAGTATTAGTTCCTTTTCTGTTGTGATATAATGTCTAGGTCAACTTATAAACGTGTTTAATTTTGCCCTTAATCCCAGAGAGATACATGATTACCATGAAAGTGGCATGGAAACAACTGTCAGATGTGGAAGCAGAAGGCTAATAACTCACATCCTTAACTGGAAGCATGAAGCAGAGTGTGGCACCTGTAAATGATGTGTGGATATAAATTCTCTAAGCTGGTAGTTCCAGTAACATATTTCCTGCAACAGGGCAGCATTTCCTAAATCTTTCCAAATGAAACCACCAATTACAAGGATTCGTTTCTGGAACTCATGCCTACATACTTGCTTTTGGTTACATGAAGCAATTCATGGTGAAGAAAAACTGTAATAAGCCATTAGACCAGCTAAACACTGGCTACAGGAATGAATGCTTTCAAGAGAAAAATTTTCATGAATGAAACATTGTTTTACTAAAATTTTGCTTTAATTATAATTATGTGATGTCAGTGTTTGTCTTTTGGGGTGTGTGAATGTGCATGTTGTTCCTGAGAACATTAAACACTTGGATCTTCTTGTAGCAGGAATTACAGGAGATTGTCAAAAATCAGACCTTGGTCATGGGAATGAACATTTCTTAACTGCTCAGCTATGCCTCTAGTGTTGTATATATTTTAAAAATTATTTCAATCATTTTGAAGTCAGAAAATGGGGACAAACTCATACAAGAGAAGAACCCGATTTGTGTAAATAATTTGGTAAAGTCTTTTGACACCACAGTTGTCTTCAGCTTCAAAAAAAAATACATTTCATTTATTTTTCATTGTAGCCTTGGAGGAAGTAAATTACTTAGCATGTTCACTCAAGACATATGGTTGAGACCACTGCATTGTGGTTTCTATTTTGAAACATTTGAGGTAGATACTCAAGTGTGCTCTATGTATGGCAAATCTATTTAGTGAAGTTTATTTTTTAATCTTTACATCCCTTCTGTGGCTTTGTTCATCTACTATCGTGCTTTTACTTAGTGACAGGTATTTTTTCTGCTGTAATGTATAGAATGATCCTATTCATCTCAGTGGTCTATTGTTTATTTAAATAGCAGTCAGTGTGTGATCATACTTTTTAAGTAAGGTTGTCTATGAAAGGTGGTGGGTTGTTGTTGCTGGTTTTGTTTTTCATATTTTCACATATACCCTTGTGCTGTGGGATGTTCTGTATGGCAAATGTGTTGCTGATTGGTCAATAAATAAAACACTGATTGGCCATTGGCTAGGCAGGAAGTATAGGCAGAACAAGGAGGAGAATATAGCTGGAAAGTGGAAGGCTGAGTCAGGGAGACACTGCCAGCCACCACCATGAGAAGCTGCATGTGAAGATCCCGCTAAGCCACGAGCCATGTGGCAAGGTATAGATTTATGGAAATGGATTAATTTAAGCTATAAGAACAGTTAGCAAGAAGCCTGCCACGGCCATACAGTTTGTAGCCAATATAAGTCTCTGTTTACTTGGTGGGGTCTGAGCAGCTGTGGGACTGACAGGTGACAAAGATTTGTCCTGACTGTGGACAAGGCAGGAAAACTCTAGCTACAAATGCGTCCAACGCAAGAGTTTCCACCTAAAACCTGAGAAAAGATTCTAAAACGGAGCTAAAAACAGTTCCTAATTGTCTCTCTCAAATGAGCGGCAGCTGCTGGTTTGAGCTATTGATGGGTTCCTAGCGTGCGCGCTCATCCTGCCGTATGGCGGGAATGAGGCCTCTGCAAGTGGCACGTTAAGCTGTGTGGTGGATTTAGCCTTTGCTAGTACAAAACAAAAAAAAGAGGTTTTTGGGCTATACACTGCTTGGATAAAAGCATAGAGACCCACAATAGCTCCCAGAGCTGGAGGAAAATGAACCACCGCCATGTTGGGAAGCTTAATGGGCAGAGCCAGCAGCCACACCTGCTGCAGTTTAAAGTAACAGATTCACAATAAGACAGATTCAGATGTAATAGTTTACAATGTTTGTAAAAGATACTTAGGCTTGAAATAGACAAAAAAGGTGATATATACAGTTAAAAAACAAATACATAGTTTTACAAAAATAAAGTCTTTAAAGACACAGTAAAATTAATTTAAAAAATAAGCCACATAAAGATGAATATTACACAGAGAATCTGGATTGTGTTGTCTTTGGGATTTTTAACTGCAGAAAAACATTTGATTGTAAAAGCTGTTGAGTTATGTCAAAATGTATATTTTAAAAGTACCTTGACTTCAAAATTTGGATATAAGGATATGTTGCTTTGGAAAGGAGACTCTGCTTTCTTTCCCACAGAAAGCCAAAGGCTATGGATTTGTTCCAGATTAAGATACATCAGGTTTGACCAGCCAAGACCCCCTAAAAGGTCTCCGATGACACCATGGCCCAGATGATCCAACATCCAGAATGGTTTGAAGGCAACTGGCTCAGACGATACAGCCTCATGGACTATTCCATAATCCTAAAGTTTTCTTTGTGTCCCCATAAGATACAGTGCCCACCTCCAACAGGAAGTAGTAAGAGAAGCTATGCCCAAATTCCCAAATTATATGTAATTTTACTTTGTTAAGGTTAAAACCTTCCTTTTTGAAAAAAAGGGGGGGAAGTGTTGTGGGATGTTCTGTATGGCAAATGTGTTGTTGATTGGTCAATAAATAAAACACTGATTGGCCATTGGCTAGGCAGGAAGTATAGGCAGAACAAGGAGGAGAATATAGCTGGAAAGTGGAAGGCTGAGTCAGGGAGACACTGCCAGCCACCACCATGAGAAGCTGCATGTGAAGATCCCGCTAAGCCACGAGCCATGTGGCAAGGTATAGATTTATGGAAATGGATTAATTTAAGCTATAAGAACAGTTAGCAAGAAGCCTGCCACGGCCATACAGTTTGTAGCCAATATAAGTCTCTGTACTTACTTGGTTGGGTCTGAGCACCTGTGGGACTGGCGGGTGACAAAGATTTTTCCTGACTGTGGGCAAGGCAGTAAAACTCTAGCTATACCCTTGAGATTTTGTTGTTTGTTATTCATCCTGACTTGGATGTCAGGAATGATTCAGGGATACATTTCAACTCAAAATCCTCATGTGTCTCTTTCCAGAGTACAAGTCTATGGGTAGATGATATACTCCTAATGTGTGCTGTATTGTCAACAAAATTTAACAATGTTAATGTTAAAAAGCTTAATAGAAGAGAATATCATAAACATTAAATGCCTCACTAATGGAAACTATTAGGGGTCCAATCTCCAATAGTCTCCTTCCCAGTGTCTGCAGAAGAGTTTCTACCATCAGCGAGAATACTCTGAGGAAAAAACTCTAAGCATACTGAGTTCTTTGCTCTACCCACTTTATTCTTCTGTGACAAAATTCTGCCAGTCCTGTCACAGAACCAGTGTACAACCTCAGCAGCAGCCACTCTTCTACAATATAATGCAAAAGCTTCCAAGGTCCCCATAAGAACATTGAAAGTCAGCTTCATTTGCACCCAAAAGGGGAATGCAAAAAGAAAGTGGGGTCACATATGGCCTGGAATAAGTCAGAAAGTGAATTTAGGTGCTCAAAATATTTATTAGTGGTTAGGTGACAATTTACAACTTTATCATAAATGAGCTCAAACTACAATCTAACAAGTTGTTAAATAAGAGAGACTATGAGTCACTAAAATAAAACTGCCTTTATTTTCTTATGTCCTCATTTCTGGCAGGGCAGAAGAGTACTCCATAGCTAGGTAAATTGGGTCACAGCTTGAAGCAAGTATGAAGAAAAACCATTTGTTCTAAGTTAGTTGCCCAAAGGTGCCACTTGGGTTATTAGAGAAAGGGAGGTCAGAGCTTAATTTGCACAATATGTGTAATGAAGGAGAGATGGAAGAGTTGGAGACTCCTGCACCCATGCACTCAAATATTTTCATTAATTCCAAACAGCAGAACATATTAGCCTCAATGAAGTAAGACCAGATACTGAACCCAGGGTGGTGATTTTGTTTGATTTTTAGTAGATTCACAGAGTGAATTTTACTGTCTCTCATTTTTAAGATACCCCCATACCAAAACAGTGATTTGTTCTTCTTTTTCCTCTTAAAAATTTGTAAATGATTTATTTTATTTTCATTTTTTTATTTATTGTACATACTGAACACAGTTTCTTTTCTCTCCTCTCCTCACACTTTCTCTCCTGCCTGCCCATCTACCCCACCTCCCTCCTCACTCTTGCTCCATCTCAATTCCGAAAGGGACAAGCCTCTCATGGACTTGATCAAAGCCTGGCACATAAAATTAAGTCTGATTTTAGTTCCTCTCCCTGCATCAAGGATGGACAAGGTAATCCAACATGGGGAACAGGTTCCCAAATGCCAGCTAAGCACCAGGGACAGGTAAAGATCCCACTGCTAGGTGCCTTACAAACAGACCAAATTATACAACTGTCACACACACACAAGCAGAGTCTATGATGGTTCCATGTAGGCTCCCTAACCATTTGTTCAGAGTATCTGAGTTCCCATAAGCTCAGTTTAGCTGTCTCTGTGGGTTCCCCATCATGAACTTGACTCTCCAGCTTGTACAATCCTCCTCCCCTTCTTCATCTTTTTATTTACTAATACTTGATGAATTACTTTTCATTTTTATTTTTCATTTTTCTTTGTTCTAAAGGAGTTTGTTGGAAAATATTTGTACTTTAACAGGACATATATTACTTTTAGGAATTCCATAACATATATCTAAACTACACTTCACTCTTCCATCACCAAAAATGTTACATGAAGTTTCTTTAAGCCCCTAGAGGGAAGAAAATCTTCCTGTTATTCATAAATTTCTCCACAGAAAATGATTAAAAATGTGATGTAAGCAATGCAATTCACTCACCATTGATGAAAATTTAAATCATGAAAGTTGTAGGGGAATCATCACATTTGAAAATAATTTTCTTAAAAGCATGACTGTTTTTCTAAAAACTGAATAACTTTTGACTATCCCATATGGATGTTTTACTTTCATTTATATATGCATGTGGATATGAGGGAAGATCTTTATTATACTTCATGAACTTAGAAAATATTCTGTCAAATGGAAAGAATTCTCAAAGAAAGAGAATGGAAAAGGAACACAGAAAATACTAAGGATCTAGAAGGAACTCCAAAGTATTACAGGCTCCTGAGCAAAAAGAAGAGGGAGCCATTAAAAGGAGGATAATCAATAATATGCACAATGTAAGAAAATGTCATTAATAAATCTTTGGCAATGAATGCTAGTTATAAGCAAAGTGTAGAGAATGAAAAAAAATAGAGGTTACCAGAGAAGACTCATGTACATCAAACATAAGGAATGTTTTAAAATTAAAAAAAGGAGGAAACAATGTCAGTTGCCTCAGCAAAATTAAATCAAGATGTTCTCATCAAGCAGTGAAACAACAACTATCAATTAAGGGGTGTCTGACTTCATTAAAATTAGGATAATGGAAATAGTCAAAAAATGTTCAGACAGAAATGGGGAAGTTGATAAACTTTGTAGTGTTAGAAGTAATGTGTATCAAGCCTGGGAAAAATTGAAAAGGCAACAAGTGAGTAGACTTTTATAAGTGCAATGGGAAATGGAACAAATGAAATTACAATGTAGAAGAGTACAGATCACCATAACCCAAATAAATGCCAAGTGTGGCCAGCCTGCAATTCAGATCTTACAGGCAGAGACATGGATATTGGTGAAATTATTAAGGCCACTCCACGTAGTTAAAAGGGAGGTTTATTTATTGGTGTAACTTACAAATGAAGGGATAGGTAGGTGGTAGGGTCTAGGAAAGGCGTGGCGCAGTCCGGTGGTGTTCTCTGGAGAACTCTGCTCAGTCTACCTCCAGCGTCCAGGGTCCAGGAACCAAGAGAGACAGCGCATTGGGATATCCAGTCATCAAGGTCCTCTTTTGCCCTGCCTTGTAGGCTTGACAGTTATCAAAGGCTCAATGAGCGTTGAAACTTCCAGATCAAGGTGAAAATGGCTACCCACTACACATGGATACCAAC